CCAATAACGCAATCAAATTCCACCAGACATGCGGGATCAAAGAGGCTAATCGTGCCAATCCTGCCACCTCCCGCATCTGAGCAGCCCTCAGCAGCGTCCAGCGGGCCTTGGAGCGCCCGGTGATCGGTGCACGGCGCAGACGGGCTGCGGGCTGACGAGCGATGGTGTTGGAGGACACTGACCAGTAGGTACGGGCTGAACCGGGTGCTGCTGGCGCCGCCATGCCTGCACGCCGGCAGGTCCCACCCATAACACCGGCAGGGGACCGGACGGGCGGGCCGATGGGATAGGGGCGCGGCTCGCTGCGGCGCCCGGGCGCGGTCTAGGGTCAGGACCGCGCGTTCAGAGCAGCGACTCGCCCGCGCGGCGCGCCCTCGCCGTGCCCCGGCCGCTCCGCCCCGTCACGACGACGGACCGATCGCTTTGTCTCCGAGCACGCCTTCGTCGGGCACAGCGGCGTCAAGGGCATCACCAGGCCGGCAGGGAGCGGGTGAGGGTCAGCCCGAGCCCCGGGGCACGGACTCCATTGTCAGCGCCGCCATTCCAGCCACCTTCCGTCCTCTGTCCTCACCGTCACCCCACCCGTCGACCCAATGAGCCCTAACGGCCCGGCGAGTCACCGCACCGCCGCAGGGCGGCCGAAGGGGTCGGCCGGCCGCCGCGGCGCTGGTGCAACTGGTTCTGCGATTGCGTCATGAAGCGCTACGGCAGCGGCGGACCCTGGCCGCCTCACACGTGATGAGCCCCGGTCGGCTGACCTTGGGTCAGCCTTGAGCGGACGGCGGCGGAGCGGGGAGCAGCGGTGGAGCGGAGAGACGCTGACGGCCGGCCGAGCCCCAGGTGTACGACCCGCGCGAACGCTGGCCACGCTGGGGAGCCGCACCCCGTTCGTTGGCACCCTGCTGCTGCCAAACCCACGTGGCCAAGCCCACCGGCTCGGCCGCCGCTACTGCCACCGCCGGCACCACATCCGTCTCGCGTCTGTCTTTTCTTTTGCTCTTTGTCTGAGCAGCCACATCCGTCTTCGTCACGGCCTCGGTCTGCGATCGGTGCGCTGTCAATCGCGGCACATCCCCGCTCAGTCCAGCGCGGCCGCGGCCCGGTTGCAGGCACACGCGTGAGGTCGTCACCGGCGCCCGCCGCCCGGGCCGACACCGTTTTGTAACCCGACTGCGCAACCGAGTACGGGGCGGCGCGCGCGCGCGCGGGGCCAGGTCGGGTCCTTGATGGAGCTGCAGCGGCCTGGCCGCCCAGTGGGAGTGTCCCCTATTGCGGCCCTGCGCAACACCCACCGTTGGTTACGGCACACGGCCGGCCGGCCCGACGCACGGTGGAAACGGACACAACGGTGGACGGTAGAAACCGACACACACGGGCTGTACTGGATGGACAAACGGACGACTGAATGAGCGGGCCAACGGAGCGGACCGCCGGCGGATGCGAGCACGGACCAAGGGACCAAAGTGGTCCACAGCCACCTGGCTGGGGTCGATGATTGACGTGTTGCCGATCCAACATCACCTGCACGGTCTAAATTGAAAGTGATTGGTGTGAAACTGAAAGGAAATTGAGTAGTGGCTTTAGCAATTGGATTACCAGTTGAAAAGAAGCGAGCTTTGAAACAAGTCAGCCGTGCTCATTGATGTCTATCAAAGCCATCAGAAACAGGGATTATAAGTTACGATACGCTATCACTATAATAGAAGTAATTTCAGCACAACGGGTTATGGATAGCGCTAAAATTACGAAATCGGGCCTAGGTCAGTTCAAAAGGTGAGGACAGCAGCCGGCGGCCGCATTAGGATTTCGTCTTGACACAGTTACGTCATCAGTTGGTAATCCAGTTCGCACGGCTCAAAATGGGTAGCCACCTCAAGTTAGTCATGCTATTATGTTTACGCTGGCGCATTAGATGTCATTACCAAGGCATATTGTACATTCTTCCTATATGTAACACTATTGTGCATACTCATACAGTATAAAAATGTTCAGCACAACCCAGCTGGCTTCAAATAGTAAAAAAATAATCGTAAATCAGCCGCTTTTAAATTTTAAAGCGTTTTAAAGCGCCCGATTCCGACTACGAGCCACCGGCAACCAGGGATCGTTATTTTCGCTCTGCATTTACCGGGTGTCATAAAAACGCCATGGCCTGGAGAGATCACGGCCAATGGCCCACTGACGGCATGGACCAATGAAGAAATCAACCAAAAGAAAGACACCAGGCGCAGAGACGAACTGCTTTCACATGCTCTGACGAAAGAGCGACAAGGCGAGAGAGCGGGCGCGACAGCGGCAGCAATATCCTCTTGTTACGCAGTCCAGCGGACGAAACCGACCGATCACTATCACTGGCGACGGTTGCGCGCCGCGCCCCCAGGCGGGTCACGAGCGCGGTCACGTGGGGTCAGCCGACGCGCCCCGACCCACGGACGGTGGGTTCCTACCGAGCCGCCCGGTCGGTCGGCGGTACACGGACCGCACGCAGAACGCACGGGTCGCCGGCACGGCACGGCGAGCGGCACATAATCGAGCGTTGACCACGCAAGTTGCCTCACGCCTCCTGCGTCCCCGGCTTCAACAGTCGGTGCCATCGCTGGTCGGCCCACCGCGCCGGCCAGAATGCACCGGGACAAAAACAGGCCGCCCGAGTCCGCCGCTTGCACTCGACACCACCCGGTAAAAGGCGTCTTGCTCAACAAGGTCAGCACGACGGCAGAATCCATACAGCTGGGACGTCGTGGACGCCACGGCGGGGCGAACTATCAGCGGGGGGACCCGAGAGGACCGGTGCGGGGGTGATGCTCGAGAAAAGCCGCACCGGTTTGATCTGGGATCATGTCCTAATGGTGACATGTGCTCTGCACGGTGTCTGCTCGGTCAGGTTTGGCTGCAATCGCTGGACCCTCAGGTCGTCTGACCCTGACGGGTGCCGTACGGTCGCCGTAGAGAGTTTCACAAGCGGCGGTTGCAGGGCGCCGGCACCTCTCCCCAATCGCCAGTCACCGGCCACGACATGTCCGCATTTTACGAAACACATAAAAACGCCGCCGCCGGCTTAGCGACCCAGGTGGGCCCGATAATCGGTCTGAACAATGGGGCGGCAGAAGCGGCGCGCCGGGCCGGTTGCGCGCGCGAGTAGACCCCATGTTACAACAGGGCCCGATGACACAAGCACCCGCACATTAGGACCAATATCCCGTGACTTTGCACAACGACAGCACGCAAAAACGGGACGCCGGACGAGCCCTTCTTGGTTGCCGGTGCTGTCATTGCCAGCCGCTTTCCCGGACACCCTAACACGACCGTTACGGTCTCTGCTGTCGGCAGGCACGGCATATAGGCATTACAGAGTCGCTACAGCTGCACTCCGTGCAAGGGCAGTTTTCATGAAACGGGATCAGAGAATCCACGTCGTCCCGCCGAACGGTTTTCGAGGCGAGACATTACAAGTCCGTTAGTCAGTGCCAGGCGACACCAAGGCTGGTCCGAGTTTATTGTATATGTTACTTGTAAGCCAATGTACCGACGAATAAATCCTAACACAGGTAATCAACAACCCCCCTGCTGAAGCTAAATGGCGCAGAAAACACAGCACAACGTAGCATTGTTTCGATGCAAATCATGCTCAATATTGTTCCAACTAACAGGAGCCAGAGTTGACTCAGACTTTAACTAGGCGGCGAGTCGAGCGGATGTGTGCTGGAAGCTTGCATCACCACTCAATGTCCGCTCTATGTCGGACGTCAGCAATGTGGAGCGCTGGTAAGCCCACGCTGCTGGTAAAGCCATGACCCACGGCAGCATATTCCCATAATCGCTCGCTCACCAGCGCGAGTCACCGGCCACTCAGCCCATGACAACAAAGCACCATTACGTCATCTCCTCAGGTGCCGTATCGCGTTCACTCAGACGTGCCACATGCACCGATAGTCCCCCTCTCCATCCATTCGGGAGGGGTCATGGGGTCCATTCTCCTTCACATTGCCCATGCTTGCGCTCATCGAGCTACATCCTCTGTGCGCGCCGGGCGGGCGCGAGTCAATGTGGTGCAACCGCGGACCAATCACGCCGCGAGCGCGCGCCGCGCGGACGGGTGTGTGCGCAGTGCGCGCGGTGGCGCAACTCGGGACGCGCCGCACGGAGGGGCCGGGAAATCGGCTACCGGGAGCACCGATAGCAATAGGTGGTTCCGGCTGATCGGCCTTTGTCGAATATGACGGCGGCAAAAAGGGCGCCGGCTGATTCACCGGGCAATGTCTGCCGCCGCATAGCTGCGGCCACATTACACCCGCCGTGTGAACCAGCCGGACTGGGCGACCTCTCACACCCGGCAACAGTCTCGAGTTCGCAGCTGCTGTCAGGGTCTGGGCGGCCACAAAGGCGCCCGTTCTGGCCATTCTCCTTCCCAATGTTCAGCACAAGGTCCGAGCCCGGCTCCGGCCCGCCAGACCCGGCCCCGTCCTGCCAGCCTCAGCACAGCTCCGACTCGGCTCGGCTCGGCACCGACCTTGGACGCCCGTCCGGTACCGTCCGGCTCACCGCCGCCGCGCCGCTCCATCCATCCCGTTACACGAAGCACCATCCGGGAAAATGACAGCACGGCACCGCACCGCTGTCATGCGACAGTCGCCTTGGACTGCGGCAGCTATATCGACCGAATCGAGCGCCACCCGTTCTGATTTCGGCCGCCGAGAAGGCCGGTTACGCAATAGAATGAAACTGACGGATATTTCACTCGCATGCAGTCACTCCGAGCGCGAGTGGCAATGCAGATTGCGAAACAATCCAGGAATCAGCTGCCCGAGATGACACTTAGGTACTCTATTTAGACCACATTCGCGCAACGACCCGCTCTTAGTAACTACCGAAATAGTTGAATCATCGATTCCCCGTGTCCGGCGCTGCATGCAATCCACCCATCCCTCACCCACCCTCCCCTTTCCCCCACCCGACCGTTCGACTCTGGCACCTCCATACAGGAGGGAGTCGGGACCCACCTAGATAGGGCTTTCCACTGAGCACGTCCGGGCTGATGTAGGCCGGCGAGCCACGCTGGTCCTTCACCAAGTCGTCCTCATTCAGCAGGTGCTTGCCCAGACAAAAATTGGTAAGCACCACCTTCTTCGTGCGCCGGTTGAGCACGATGTTACCCAGCTTGAGGTCGCGGTGCACGACGTTGTTCTTGTGCAGCATGGCCACGACGCGCACCACGTGGCTGAAGATGAGCAGCGCCTCCTGCTCGGCCAGCCGCTTCTGGCGGATCACGTAGTGCTGCAGGTTGATGTGCTCGCTGGGCGAGAAGTCGTGCGGCGTGAGACAGTCGAGCACGAGAGCCACGCGCTGCACGGCCCGGCCCGAGTAGACGGTGCCGCGCGACGTGTCCACCTCCTCTAGGGCAATGTCCTGTGGACACAGGGGATGGGCATGGTGTCACTGCCGCAGCCCTCAGAGCGATGCTCACCTTGAAAACACTTGATAAACATCTGGCAAACGTCCTCGCTGATGACTGTAAGTGAATGATAAACAATCTTCTAACATCCTATTACAGGTTGACTAAAATGCATGTCCTGTTTAAAAGGATTATCCTTCCTTACCTTGTACAGTCCATGGTGTTGAATTACCCCCTGCTGGCCTCGCAACAGTGTGAGAAGCGAGTACTCAGTATGCAGCAGCATTTTGCCAAGTCGGTCATCTTGTTTTTCCTCGCTAGGGGGCTTCAGGCTCAAAATCTGAAGTGGAAATCCACAATTAATGAATGCTTCATATGCAGAACTGACATCAGATCAGCAAATCAGGCATATTTTTTTACAGGAAAGTGCAAAATATCCAACTTAAACCTAAACTGATGCTATTAAAGCATGTAAAAAATGGCCCAAACATGCTAGCTAACATCAAACAATGCAAAACAAGTGCACACCAACAAGAACATTTAGGTGCCAGCTGACTGGCCACTACACATGAAGAATAGAACCATTAAAGTAAGCATACCTTCACAGTGAAGAACTTGTCAGTCTTTTCTTGACGAGCAAGATAGTGTACAATACTCTTCACAGGCGAGTTTCCAAGCACAGGTCCCAAAATGAAGGGCCCAACTTTTTTAACTCTAACCATATCCACAAGAGTTCCAGGCTTGGGATCTGCAACAAGAAGGCATTTTACAATATAAGATGGGTATTGATTTCACAATTTCACATCAGCAGATATACCTAATGCCCATCAAAAAATAAATAAATAAATAAATAAAATAAAATGCAAGGACAACTAGGTATATGTTATGAACATCACAAAAGTCCCTTGGTCTGCTTGTCATTACATATCCAGTAGGTGTCAATGCAACCAATGGAACTTAGTTAAATTTGTAGGTATTTGGTAGGTATATCTAAGCAATTAGTATCAACAAAATGTTTTGTCACAAGACACAATACTTACATGACTCATCTTTTTCTTTCAATGCTTCTAAGGCTTCAGAAATTCTTATCTTCTTTGGACTAACAACAGGAACAACTTGAGAACAGCAGAAACTAGAGGATCTTTTTCTTGACTGGAGACTCATCTCAGCACTGAAAAGGAAAGAAAATGAATAAGCACAACTCATTTGCATTATCAGTGACATTCAATTTTTAGCACGATCTTGTTGCTGCAATACTGAACCCACAAAAAAAGTCATAGCATCAAAACCATTCCTCGTAAGTCGTAACACAATCAGGTGGCAGTAAATGACCATCCGAATTATCGTTAACACGGAAAAATCCTGCATTTAACTTTACGCAGAGATCAACCACAATTCAAATTCAGTCAAGCAGCTCTTTAGAGTTGCTCTCAAAAACTCAAATTTAAATCTCAGAAATGGGTTTTGGGTTGGTCAGGTCAGGTGAGGTTGGCGTCACCATCCACACCAGAATCAGAATGGCACCATTACTAACCTGCGCAAGGCCAGGCAGGGGGATAATTCGATGCACTTTCAAGTATTCACTCACACTTATCACTCACACGAACAAAACAGTCGAGAAAATAACTACCCTATGGCAGAAGCCAAGGTAGACTAGCAGTCCCGCTCCATCCTGCCAACTGTGAAGAAAAGACAGAGCGGTCGCAACGCAATGCTGTGGCAGCGACGCCGAGCCGAGCTACAGCAAGCCGCAGGGTGAGGAGGTGACGCAAACGTGACGCAAAACTATCACAGAGCAATGCGTTCTAGAACAGAACAAAGACCATTTGAAAGGATTATCTGACGTCATATACTATTGAGGTACGAAAGAAATTATGTTATCTGCTATATAGGCCCAAAATGTTGCATTCCTCAAAACAAAATGTTGTTACTAATCAAAATAATGCAGATTGTCACCAATAAAACTAAAAATAACTTTCAAAAATATTTTGACGTCGTTTAAAGATCATTTAAAAATAAGTTATGTTTTGATTATTACTTGTGGCCTTGTTGATGACGTCAAGATTTTCTCGAAAATATTTCATGATTATGGCGAAAAATGACGTCATATTAAATTAATGCATAAAAAACAAATAACACAAAAAGGAAAACAAGTTGTCTAGCTATATTGCTAGAGTATACAATTACTGGCTGGTTGTATGCACTATAACCACCCAATTGCACTTAATTTCTGAAGAAAAGACAAATAAATATTTTTCAACAAACCAAGTGTTAGCAATGAAATGGCATACAAAAACAATTCCACCAAATCCTTTTACCTATTCTTTTTTCACCGCAAACCATATTTGTCAATATCTTGAGCTTTTCGCTAAAATAGAAAGAACTCTACCAATAAACGTCATTTATTTAATTAATCCTTTTAACATAATATTCACGACCTTGATCGCAATGCAGCCCGCAAATTTACCAATTTCTAGTTTTGGAGGTCACCGTGGATTTTGGAAGACGGCAAGAGTCAAAATGAATAAGTGATTCAGGTATCATATGTATTCGTTGTCGAACGCATTGAAATATATTGGTAAGTATATATAAATGTCGTAGGATTTATGGATGATCTCGCAAGACGATAGGAAGATTTTGTCACTGCTGCGCCATTTCGCCAACTTGAACTCTTGAGGTTTGAAAAAAAAATCAATTTTCAGCTTTGAGATTTGAAAATTCCATGTTTAGCTTAGAGGTCTGGAATACAATAGCAGTTTTGTAGATGCAGCTGAAAATTATGCAATAAAGAAGCTCTAACATTTGGATAACGGGTAGTTACCTACCTATTCTTTCTGGATGCCGGTGAAAACTGGCCCTGTTTCACCGGTGATAGCAGCACGCTGCTATTCCATTTCGCGAGTCACACTTCTGGTAGTGTTGGAGGAATAGGTTTTTTGACGTCTCCATGGAAACTCAATTTGACACGTGTAATAGCAGCTTGCTGCTATCACCTGTGAAACAGGGCCAGGGTGCCTGAGGGCATATTTATTTGGTCTGTGGGGCGTGACGTGGTTGTCACATGGTTTGTGCTAGTGCATTTTAAGAGCCTTGATAAAATCGCCCTAGGCGGCAGGCGCCATGTTTTCACCTTCGTCCTTCTTTCTTTCTAACTAAATCAAATCAAAACAAACCTAACCTAACCTAACCAGTATTAGTAGAGCAGATGTCACATGGAGCTTTTCTTACTGAGGAGAGACGCTATACCCAGAGGTGTTTTTTTTCTAACAAAACCTAAAACAAACCTAACCTGACCTAACCTAACCTACAAACCTAGAACCTAAATTATAAAACCTACAAACCTTCAACCTACAACCTGCCCTTCAACCTACCTACAAACTAAAGCACCTTTCCTCAGTTGGACAACTTTCATGTGATGTCTGCTCTACTAATGCCACCTTACCTACAACCTACAAACTTACAACCTACAACCTAGAAACCTAAAACCTAGAAACCTAAAACCTAGAAACCTTCAGCCTAGAAAGTAGAAACCTATAGTGCCTCAGTATCAGTAGTGCTGGCTTACACCTTCTCCATTGGCACCAAGGGCAAGGTTCAAAGTTATGTTTATTCTGATGCTTGCAGATGGCATCACTTTATAAAATTACATGCATGTGATTAAGCCAAGTCAAATACAAATAATGAACATCAATGAAAAATGCATTCATATATAACCAAACCTGACCTACCCTAATTGTACAACTTACCATTTACCACCTACAGCAGTCCAAGTGCTTCTCCTTGGTTGGAAAACCTTCATGTGATGTCTACACTAGTAATGCCCAACCTACCAAGCTGCAGCACCTCTTCCTGGTCGGAAAACCTTCATGTGGCATCTTGTGTGGATATTTGGCCCTTGGGCCAAACCAGATTATCCCGGAAGGTAAAATAAGCTTGAAAGATTGGAGAAAAGGCAATTGATAACTCGCTATAAGATCTTTCAAAATTATCAGGTCATTTTTCAATCAGGTCATTTCTGAGGTCACTAGAGGTCACTAAAAGTAAAATTGTCACGAATTTCGGTTCCCAATTTCGACAACTTTTCATACAGCGGTGCATAACTCGGGAACCAACAGAGCTGCAGTGCCGCGGGAAAGTGTGTTCGGTAGCTACTTACTTGAAAGTTCTTTCTTAGGATTGTTCTCAGATTTGATCAAAGGTCATTGCTTTAGCCTCCGGAGAGCAAAAACTCAAAATTTGACATTTTTCGGTAAACGTATGTAATAACTCTGACACCAAGCGCGTATTACGTTCGTTTTACCGGCATCACGTTTCTCTAGTTGAGACACGTCAAATGAACTTTAAGTTGACAACTTAGGTCAGGGTCACAGAAAAGGTCATGTTGCATATCATGCATATCAGCCCTGGCTTACACCTACTCAAAAATTGGACCTCAGGACTCAGGTCAAGGTACCTAATGGCCTGACAGGAAAAGGTCATGCCACATATCAGTCGATCCGTATCGTCGAGCCGAACAGATCTAAAGCGTTTTCCCCGCTGTAGCGTAACGAGGGGGTCACGGGTGCCATTTTCCGGTTCATTGTGTCATGTTTACTTGTAATTCGATGTTTGAAAGTGTTTAGAATGACGTTGGTCCAAAAGAGGCGCTTTTCAATTTTTCCCATTGACTTAAATGGAGAGGTCGGATAATTGATCTGACCTTAGGTCACCGATATCAAATTTCCGAGAAAAACATTTTGTAGGTACTGTTATCCTTATCAATTGCTGAAAGTTTTAAAGTGATCGGCCACTCGGTGTAGCTATGGCTGGCATTTATTTTTTTATGAGGTGAGGCCACCTGGCGTGACCTTGTGACCTGACGTTGAATGACCTTGGCCTGAAATTTACACAGCATATGCAGAAAAGATGCATGATGAGCCTGATAAGGTGTGCTGAAAACGGTGCCGCCGGAGGGGGTGTTCAAACACCCCCCAGCAGGGCGCGGGTTAATAAAGTGTCGTTTTCAATGCTTCGTACCACGACTCCGAAACCCTGCTCTGTAGCCCTACGCGAGATAGCACCCTTAGCGTTCACGCGAGCGTCTAGAGACTTGAATAGGATTGGTAAAGTTTTATTTTACCCTCACTGTAAACATCTTTTAGAACACAGCACGAGAATTGCTGGCTGAATTACTCAGCCCCCGTTCACGAGCTCCAGAATCCCTTTACCGTGACGTCACCACGGCGGTAGAATCTCCCTTCACCCATAGGCATACATGCACATTTCATCATCTTTCGAGCGAGCTGGAGAAAAAACAAGGATTATGTGCCATCAAAAGTTGTACCAATGTAACAATGAGTTCGCCTCATTACGATAAATGGGGCTGACACTAAAAAAAGGACTATATCGAGCCAACATCAGCAATTCAAATGACGCCTTCATTTCAACGTGAAGGATTTCCTCTACCATGACGTCACCCTTATTTCGCCTTTATTTCCCTAGTGAACCACCCTGAGTAGGTAGTAAAGGAATCTTGGCATTACTGAGAAAACTGCTTAGTGCACATTGTGCCGCTGATATGAATAATATTTTTTTTTTCTTCAAAATAAGTTTGAACACCGATCATTTACCGTTAAGTTAAACGCTGTACGAGTTGCTAATTACTTCAGTTATTATTCCCGACAAATCGTCTATCCCTGTGGGGTTGTAACTATGGGCAACTACGAATTGCGAGTCCGGGAACTAGCAGCCAGGTAGAAATGATTTTGATAAAGTTGATCGTCTGTGAACTCAATGTGCGCCAACCAGTTTTCGTATTTCAGCTACCAGTTCTCGTGCTGTGTTCAAGGAGACGTTTACAGTGAGTGTCAAACTTAAAGTAAACGAGCCAAGGTTCATCTTGTTCGACAGGTTGAATGACGATGAGAAGACGGGCACAACTCAGGATGCGTTGTTGACTGCTGCCGCTGCATGCCTCTGAAAGTTGAGCTCCACGTTACGATCACTCCCAGGTCATTTTCTTCTGTCTCCGCCTGCATTGCCAGTCCTCTCACAATTTGCATCTTATTCCTTGATCATGGCCTTGCACATCCTCACTCTGAATATACAGGACACACTACACACACTAACTAATACTGAAGTGTTTTTTTTTATACATAATTGTCTCTGGAACGATCCTAAGCATGGCTTGGCAACCTGTCGTGTCGGGTGTCCCTCTTGACCTGCCACTGGTGGCCTCATCACTCCATGTCTCCCCCGGAGCTGGTCGAGTCCGTCGCCGGCCAACGGGTCGGCCGACTGCCGCCCTGCCCCGCTCGCCGCTGCCGCTCCTTGGCCCCGGCCGGTCTCCCCTATATAGTCAACTGATATACCCACTGTCATCGTATTGCAGTTGCCCTGCAGTGGTTTTCTTAGAATACAATGTCGAATCGAGCACCGAACTAATTCCTGTGATGATGTTATGATTCTGAATGCATTTAACATTGCCTTTAACCGATTTACTGTTAAGTTTTATGCATTGGTTGTCATTCGCTTTCTGTTGCCCTTACTACTCGCTTTGCAATTTTTTGTCGGGTTTGGCCCTTTCGGTCCATTAAGACCATTGCAGAATCGAGAGGATGATAGGAATTAGGGGGAGACATTGGTCTGGACAAGCACCCTAGAGAGTCACCGGGACTGAGCCCATCCGAATGGACAGGCCGACCAGCCTCCCCCCCCCCCCAAGCACTCCCTGCACCCGGCTACGGGGTGCGCTCCCTCGGGAGCAGCGGTGCCGCTCCAAGGGAGCAGCCCGCATGAGATAAAGGTGCCTGTCCAGCCCGGTTTGGGGGTTGTGGCG